TTCCTTCTGGATACAAGCCCAGGAGTGGGATTTCTGGGTCATATGATAAGTCTATTCCTAGTCTTTTTTTTTTTTTTACACCTATTCCTAGTCTTTTGAGGAATCTCCACACTGTTTTCCATAGTGGCTGCACCATACTGCATTCCCACCAGCAGTGTAGGAGGGTTCCCCTTTCTCCACAGCCTCTCCAGCATTTGTTATTTGTGGATTTTTGAATGATGGCCATTCTGACTGGTGTGAGGTGATACCTCATTGTAGTTTTGATTTGCATTTCTCTGATAATTAGTGATATTGAGCATTTTTTCATGTGCCTTTTGTATGGACTATATTCTTGATTTCTCTTTCTGATCATTTGTGATTAGTGTATAAGATTTTCTATATATAATATCACATCTTCTGCAAATAGTGACAGGTTTACTTCTTCCTCTCTAACCTGGATGCTTTTGTTTCTTTTTCTTGCCTTAAGTGCTCTGGCTAGGACTTCCAAAACTATGCAGAATAAAAGGGATGGGAGTGGGTATTCTTGTCTTGTCCCTGATCTCAGAGGAAAAGCTTTCAGCTTCTCACTGACAAGTATTATGTTACCTGTGGGCTGTCACATATGGTCTTTATTATGTTGAGGTTGATTCCCTCTATATTCACTGTGTTTCCCACTTTGTTTAGTTCTTTAATCAGGATTTCCTTCAGTCCTTTGAACATACGTATAATGGTTACTTTGAAATCTTTGTTCAATCTGACATTTGGTCACTCTCACAGGCCATCTCCATCACCTGTCCCACCCCACCTCACTTCCCCTGTGTATGTGTCAGACTTTCCTGTTTTTTTCTCCATGTCTCATAATTTTTGTTGAAAATTGAACATTTTAGATAACACTCTAGCAATTCTCGGTACTGACCTATCCCAGGCCCTGTTATTGTTATTTGCATATTTACTTGGTGAATGGCTGGATGACTTTAGTGAAGTTAATCCCTATCTCCCCCCAAAATGAGAAAGTCTCTGATACTGCTTCTCAGGGAGTGCAGCCTTGTGAATGCCCACAGTTACAATGAGATGGCAGTGATTTTGGCAGAGTTCTCCTTTTTTAAATAGTCACACCTAGCTGGTGGCTCTACATTTTCTACAATGACCTGCTACCTAAATTGCTCCAAAGGCTGATCCAATTAAATTTGGGCTCCTCTGAAAGAATAGTTTTGGAGGTCAATGTTTGAAGTTTGTTTTGACCCCTGGAGGGCTCTTCTCTGCTATTTCTTTCCCTGGTTCTCTCTGTTAATCTCTCTAGCCTACAGTTTAACTTGGATCTCAAGTGATTTTACCAATTGCCTCTAACCACTTTTCACCACAACAGCCACTGTTTTTGAGAACATCTTAAGCTTTGGTGGGTCCACACTATGAGCAAATGTCACTTCCTCTGGAAAGAGATCTGGAGCTTTTCTTTTTTTTTTCTTCAAATGGTTTGCTTCTTCTAGTGGGCAAAATCTCTGAGCCAGAGCTCTGTAACTGGGGGGTAAGACAATGGCTTACTTCTCTCTGAGTGACACCTATGCTTTAGGACTTACGTGTTTGGTAGAAGAGGAGCAGTAAACTCAGGTCTTCTTGGCTTGCCTCTCCCAGTGTGCAACCTTCACCTTACAGGTAGGCAAGGGGCATCAGAGCCCCACTATTCTCACTAGAACCATGCCCAGTTAAAGCCTCCATCCAACAAGTTGGGGTGGCCAGAAGGGAGTTCCCACCTCTTGACTACACATGTTTAGAAACAAGTCTCACAATAGGCAGGTAGGAGTAAGATGAGAAGTTCTGATGTCCTTCCTCTTCTAGGTAAACAGTCCTCCAACTGAGAGTTGAGGGGAGAGAGAGCCCTGTGTTCTTGGCAATTTCTGCCTTGCTGAGCTGGGAGGACATAAGTGTTGTTCAATAATACAGTCTCTAACTGTTCTTCCTAGGTTTTAGTAGATTTTCTTGAATAAATGTTTTTTCATTTGCTGTATGCCTTTAGGACCATTTCCAAGACTGCAAATTGTTATCTTTTAAAAATAACTTTCATCATTTTCATTGGGAAGAGCATTTGCAGTAATGCCAGACACAGAACCCACAATAAACCTGTAACACTGAATCTTTCATATTGCGTACACTCAATGACATTTTAAATGCAACGAGAATAGTACTTAATCTTTAAAAAGTCATTCCTTATTTAGAGTCTTCCTATATTTTCACAAGTCAGATCTGCTTCAAAGTATGAATGTCAGCAAGAAAAATACTTTGCCACTTATAAATTAATTTTTCTTCTAGGAGTCAAACCCAAATTGATAATTCATACACTTTATACTGTCATAACTATAATCCATCTAGTCAAATGTGCTATATAGCAGATTACATTTACTTGACTATCTTATAGCTTAGTTATTGCACAATGGCTATACAGCATTCTTAATTGGCTTCTATTAGGTTGCAAAGTAAATAGTCATTCTAGGACTGGGTTATGTTGACCATAAAGTCTTGATTACAAATGCCTTAATATTATAATTACTATATCCATAAGTAGAATATTATATCTCTATAACTTAGATCAAATACCTTATAAATGATTTCTGTTCTTTAAGGTTAATATATAAAAATCATTCAAAAACACATTTTTAACCTTACCATATGAGGATCATACCCCAGAGAAAACAAGTAAGGTTTTTCTTGTAAAACTGCTTCTTTCCACTTTTCATCAGATACCAAACCAATATACCAGTCACTTTCATATTCTTCAAGGCAGTTAGTCAGCTCTTTAAAGTCTTCTACTGGACCTAAACTTGCTTTATCAATCATGAGTTTCAGAGTATACCTAAATAATGGAGAAACAGAGAATTTTAGAATTCTAAAAATCAACCTTATAGATGAATAGATTTTGTTCAATCAGTATTTTTTTAAGACATTGAAGTAAAATCATACACATTTCAAAAAAAAAGATCAGAGAGAAATGGTAGAGTTAAAGGGAAGAAATCTAGTAAGCAATATGAAAAATAGGTTCTCCACATAAAAAAAAAAGGAAGTTCAAAACAAAGTGTACTTTTTACACAAAACATATTTTACATTTTTAGGAAAGTGATTTTAAAATTAGAAATGAAGGAGTATCCCCTTGGTTATAAAAAAAAAATCAACATTTTCCAGCCAATATTTCAAGTTGCATGTAATCAAAAAGAATTACCTGAAAGCTTTCAGTGCTAGTTGGAACAATTCTGGCTTTTCTGTGAGCCAATCCAAGGCAACAGACCAAGGCAAAACACCACTGTAAACTCTCAATATATGACCAGGACTAGGAATCATATTGTCTACTCCAAATAAACTAAAATAACAAGTCATTACTGCATGAACATAAAAGTCTTTTAAAACTCTGTCCTTTGCAATTTCTTCCACAACAACTGAGGCATTTTCTTCTGAACGGAAACATTCCAACTGCTTTAAAACAAACTGGTACCAGTCTTCCGGAAATAATGAGCTCATCTCCTTCACTTTGGAATTAGGCAAACAGTTAGACATCCACTCTTCAGGTAAGCTTAACAAGTGGGAATGAGAACAACTGAACTCCACGAGAGGGATATATGCCATGTCTTCTTGTTTTCCTTTGTCAATAGCAGGGTATCCCAATACAATTGCTTTGTAAAGACTATTTTCAGTAACTGTGCCTGTAGAATGATTACCAACCCTCTGTGATTCTACTGATCCTGGAATAGGCAAATCTATACCTGGCAAAATTTTCAACTGATCTTTTTCTCTTCCTTTTTTGATAGTTGGTTCGTCACCAAAAACATCATCAGACCAGTCATCCAAAGTTTCTGAATTTAAACTGTCTGTGTCTTCTGGGGATTCAGTTTGCGGTGGAGTATTCAAAGCAGGCAGAACTATTAGAGATGCTTTCCCTTTATTTTCAATTTTGTGAACATTCTCCTGCATGCTGGACCTTCTGGAACAGTACTGAACAAGTATCCACACAAGTACTTTAACAAGGTCACCTTTAAATTCTCTTAAGTTATCATGAGAATCAATTATGCCAGACAAAACATTCCTGGCATCAGAATAGAGTTTCACTGGCAAAACAGTACAAGGTGTCAAGACATTTCCAAAGTGTTCATTTATGGAACATACTCTTGCATATTCTTCTTGCTCAAAGGCACTTTCAAAAACTTCATCAACTCTTCGAGCTTCAGCAGTATGACAGGACGTCTCTTGCAATTCTAACCCCTAAAGAGGAAATAAGGAAGTATTTAAGCTTATGATCCCTTACTACACAGAGAAAACTAACTAGTTTTGTAAATGCTCATGGATTGGATTCTCATAATAAAAATACATATAATGGAAAAAAATTCTTTAACACAAGAGCTACACCTTAATTCAAACTTAATGGCACTTAATACATTTGATGTTGGTTACAGAGATGAAAAATAATATAGAAACTCTACTAGAAATTGATAAAACAATTTTAATGCATGATGATAATTTTAAGACTATATCTATAGTCAAGGTTGAATCACACTTATTAAAAACTTTTTTAAATTGTAAAAAATTGGAGGGGGAAGCAAAATTGGAGTTACACAATATGCACAGGTTTGTATCCTTTCCATCCTGCATTATATGAGAGCATTATTCTATGGTATGGATATGCCATAATTTATTTAACCATTTCTCTCTTCTGGTCTTTAAAAAAAAATAAAGGTTTATGTATTTGGTTATTGTCAATCTCCTCCAACTACATAAACAGCTCTCTTTTGATTACTGCTATATCCTCTGTACCTAAACCAGTACCTGGCACACAGTGAAGTATGGAACAAATGTATGTTGAAAGAATGAATATTATGAATAAGTTCTTATATAAATTTTAAACACATTTTGATTTTTTCCCTAGAATGAATCATTTGAAGAGGATATACCAGGTCACTGTTTACTATTATTATTATTATTGTTGTTTATTTATTTATACATTTTTATAAAACTACCAGTGTCTTTAATAAAAGACAAGGCTTTTAGGTTGTATTATGATATCAGAACCTGCTTTTAAACCATGACTCTACCAGATTCTAGTACACAATCTTGAGTAGATCACTTATCCTCTAACATTCCTTTTGCTTTTCTTTCAAAGAAAAGTAATCCTAGTACATAGGGTTATGAAGATAGTAATTAAAGTCCTCTGTAAATTTTAAAGTATTATATAAATGTTCGTAGTAGCTAAGCAAGCCTATGTCCAAAAAAGTAAAAAAAAAAAAAAGACTGCCACCATTTGTGTTCATACCACAAATGTCACAGAGCACAAAAGATCAATAAAGGACTCACATTATAGGTATTATAAAACTATACCATTTAAAAAACAGAACTAAATTAAGCAATGAAAACATCCTCTAAATTTTTCAGGATTTTTGTTTTGCCTTCTCCTACTTAAGCATGTTAGACTAGAACAGTAGTTCTCAAGCTTTAGGTGAGTCAGAATTACCAGAAGGCTTGTTAAAACACAGATTGCTGGACACTCCCCCAGAGTTTCCGATTCAGTACATCTAGGGTGAGGCCTAAGAATTTCCATTTCTAATAAGTTCCCAGGAGATGTCAATATTACTAATCTGGGAGACTGCATTTGGAGAACCACTGGACTAAAGGAAAAGCTTTTTAGTTACCAGCAATTTTATCCAATCTGTGCTAAGACAAAAAAATTCATTCATTCACTGTTCATTCAACAAATATTTATTAAGGGCCTATTATGTGCTAGGCACTGTTCCAGGGGCTTAGGATATATCCTCCAAATAGAGAGAGAGATCCCTGCTCTTGTGACATTTACATTAGAGAGTGGAGGGACACAGGAAATCAGTAATAAAATTAATAAGTAAATTACATAGTTTGTTAGAAGGTATAAGTGCTAAGGAAATAGAAAGTAAAGCAGGCAAGGAGGACTGGAAGTGTAGGCAGGTATGGGAGTGCATATGCAATTTTAAATAGGATGGGCATAGTAGACCTCATTGATAAGGTGACATCTGAGCAAAACCTTGAAGGTGGTTAGGGAGTTAGCTGTTGTGGTTATCTGAAGGAAGTGTTCCAGGAAGAAGGAACAGGTAATATACTGGATTACAGTAAGAAAGTTCAAGTAGTAGATGAGACCAAAGAGGGAACAGGGAGTCTCACCATTTAGGGCCTTGGCTTTCACTCTGAATGAAAGAAGAGATCAACTGTAGAATTTTGAGTAGGAAAGTAACATGATCTTACTAAGATTTTAAAGATCACTCTGATAATAGGCTGTAGGGTGGCAGAAGTAGAAGCAGAGAGTCCAATTAGGAAGCACTGCAGTTACCCAGGAAAGGGACTAAGGTGGTGGAAAGCAGGGTGGTGAGAAATAGTGGGACACAGGCTACGACCTAAAGACAGAGTAAACAGGATTTCTTATTGGATTGGATGTCGGGTACAGAAGTAAACAAGGAGTCAAATATCACTGGACTAAAGCCCAGATGTTTTTGAGTTGAGCAACCAGAAGGATGGAATTGTCAGCAAGGATTGGGGCACTCTGATTTAAGAGGTCAAGGGAAAGAGAATGAACCATCAAAGGAGACTGACAAGGATTAACTGGTGAAACAAGTGAAGAGATCAGTTGTGTCAAATGCCGCTCACAAGTCAAGTAAGATCAGGTCTGTGAACTGACCACTGGATTTAGCAATGTGACAGCCACTGCAGACTTTGTCAATAGTGGTTTTTAGTGAAGTAATAGGTAACAGGGTCAAAAACCTAGAGTAAGTTAAAGAGAGAATGGGAGAAATAAAATTGGAGATACAAGCAACTCTAATGCTCTGATAGGAAGGAGAAAAACTGAGTGTTAGCAGGTAAGAGCAATGGGGTCAAAAGAAGGTTTTTATAAAGTTGAAAGTGCTTAAATGATATAGGAGTGAGGAAAATATTACTACTGAGTCCCATTTTTGAGACACTCAACTAGACAGGGATAAAAATAATACAACTGGACGAAAAGGGGGCAAGTGTACTTTGTTACTATGCTCTATTACACAATCAACACTAGTCTGCCTTTCAGTATGTGCATGTTGAAATATACTTTAAAAATCCCTAGGTGTTTTCACAGGTAATTAAAAGATACTTTTTGAAAGTGAGCTATTAAGTGTTTGATGTGTGCATAACAAACAAAATTTTTAAACATGTACTAGAGAGGTTTCAAATGCACAATGACCTTAATGTTAATACAGCAATAAGTATAGCCACATTCTAGAATCATTATCCATATTAAACGATCCTGAAAACGGCCCAAGTAATGAGACCCAGGTAAGAGGAGACCTAAAACAAATTAGAAAAAAAAAGTTAAGTAATTGTTCAAGTTTGTCTTATTTTGCCATGTGAATCTTCAAAATCATAACACACTAGGAACTAATTCATAACTCTTTCTTCTTTTTATGTTAAGAACAAAAACAACTATTCATTGCATATCAGGAGGCATTAAATTAAGCTCTTTACAGGAACAGTTGGAAGAAAAAAATCTATAGGCGACTACATATAAGAATTCAAGGATATATTTTCCAAAAAACAACAATTTAGAACCTGCTATATAAAATCCTAAATACATGTTAAATATATTAGGAAAACATATTAAATATATATAAGCCAACTTCATATTAATGACTTAAAACATTTCGGATATTTTTATATACAAGCATATACAAATGTTTTATGGTGTTAAAAATTTACATAAAATGTTATCTACCACACTGTACAAATACTCTTAAAACTTAGTTTTTTTCTCAACATTATGTCTCTGAGACATTATGTCAACGACAAACAGCTCAGTCATTCATTTTAACTGCACTGAGAATTCAGTCTGAATATAGCTGAATTTAAATATTCATTCTCTAACTTAAACATTTCAGATGTTTCATTTTTAACTGTTATAAATAATGATGTATAAATTATCTTTGTGCAAGTCTGCTTGTACAACATATTATGCAAAAAAGAGTTAACACAGCAGAACTGATTGCTGTCCTTGAAAGGCCTGCTTACAAAGTTGGCTCTTGGCTGGCAACTGGAAATTTGAATTTCAAGACAGTTCACATCACCCTAACTGATAAACAATCTCTCATTGTGCCTAAACTGTTTCTACAAAGAATATAGTTCATACTGAATACTTGTTTTCTTTTTGGGATTCTGGAATTTTGGTATGTGGCAGGCAGAGGGTGCCTACTGATCAACTCCTCAATACAAACAAGCCTTAGGCAGTGAGTCTCAAATAAGTTTCCATGGTAGTCAACGTATTCACACATACTGTTACAATCAGTTGCTGGGGCATTAAGCATGCTGTATGTGACTCCACTGGGAGATTACACCTGGAAGTTTTCAGCCAGTCTCTCATCCCATGTGACTTCTCCTTTGCTGTATTTGCTCTGCATCCTTTTGCCCTAAAAAATCTTAGCTATGAGTACAACTATATGCTGAGTCTTGTGTGTCCTCCTAGAAAATCATCAAAATGGGAAATGGTTTAGGGGCCCCCCAAAAACACATGTGTAAGAGTTTCTCTAGAACTGGAATCACTGCATCACGGAATCTAAAACTAGAATCCCTAGGCTATGGGATATGTACATCTTTACTACAGACTATTAAGTTTACTTTTCTCTGTGGCTGTATGAGTTTATACATTACCTTCTTGCAGGGTTTGAGAGTTCCTGTTCCCCATTCCCTTACCAATACTTGTTAATGTCAGTCTTTTTTGCCAATCACATGTGTGTGAAATGTTACCTCACTTATTTTTTTTCCCCAGGAAATACTTTATAACACACTTCTTGATTGAATATAATTGATTGGATAATAAAGTATAATTTCTACCTCATTACTAAGATATTTATTATTTCAGATGTGAGTTAAAGCTTCCAGATATTTTAAAAAGTAGCATTGCACTATATAATAAAAATTAACTAGAGCTGGATAAAAGTATTAGAAGTGTAGAATATTTCCTATATGAAAGGGAAATGATTATTTATAAAAATTTATACTACAAAAATAAAAGGTTTTCCTAAATTATCTCACATAATAGATAATTAGAAAAGTTCAACCCCAATAAATATTTCATTAAAATTCTAATTTTAAATTGCTTCTCTGCCAGGAGTAAGTTTTCCAGGAAGACTCTGGACATAATTAAACAAGTTTTAGGGGCTAAGGCACATGGTGGGAGACAACACACTATTGTCATCAGCTTGTACCTTATCTAAAACCAATCTTGGGAAGAACAATATAAATTTACAGTTAGTGTATGATGAAATTATAAGATTATCACAAAATTATAATTACCATAAAATAAATTCATTCTCATCAAAAATGTTGTTAATATTCACACAGCCCTTCATTTGGGAGGCTACTGATTACTGACCAAAGCTTTTATGTTACCTGCCCTCTGATCTTATCAGACTGCTTAAGTTGCTGGACAGTAACTAATAAGATACAAGCAAATTACCTAAGCATTTCAGTGATATTATATAATGCTTGTTTTCACTCTCAGTGGGTCTAAGCTATTCCATCTACTTGGCATGAGCTCATTACAAATTCATGGAAATTTGGGGAGATAAAGGGTTTTCATGTTTCATAGTGGGACTATCACCTGATTTTATTCAAGAAAATGTTTTTTAAAATTTGTTAAATCACCCTAATGAAATCTTCCCTAAGTATTTTTATTTTATAACTTTATTTACCTCAAAATAAGGAGTAGGAAATTATACTTCTACTTTATATTTAGTCCTTCTGCCTATACATCAAAAGTATTAGAATCTGTATAATAGGTGGATCAAGACTGTTCTTTTGTGTGTTCATCCTTTTGTATTTTAAATATATTAATGAGGATTTCTTAAGCATGGCTCATTTACTTACCTAAACTTCCAGCCGCCATTGCAGACTGTAGTGCAGTGGTCAAACTCGGGACCATCTGGTAGTAGTACACTGTATCTGCACACACACAGGCTGTTGTGCCCACTACTCCTGGCCAACTCTGAACAGGTCGAGGAAACCCCACCAAGAACAAAGGAAGGGTGAACAGAGGGAGTAAGGGAGATGAGAGTAGTGTAGAAAAAACTATTAAGACCAACACGAATGGAGAGAAGACAATATTGAGTATACATAAACTGGTGGTTGATTTTCTACGTTTTTTCTCTGTCCATGATGCCAAAAGCACAGTCACAGCAAACTGCAATTTAGAGATGAACTGAATCAGACGATCACGCATGATACCAACCTGTAGAGACATAAAAATGTCTTTTTTATTCTTAAAGACTTTTCTTGAATTTTCAAGATCATATAAGAACAACTGTATAATTTTATTATTGCCCCAATATTTTTGATAAAATAGCCCTTATTTGAGATTCTTTGTTATAATTTTCTCCAATCTCACAATTAATAAATGAAACTACATTTTTTAAAGTTTGGGCTCTTCAAAAAAAAAAAGTAGTACAAAAGAGAACTGACAGAGTGCTATGTTTATCTTAAGGTTGATTAAGCTTGGCATTACATGCTAATTAAGTCATGAGACCCAGAAATAGTAAACAGTTAAGAGACTATCCTCAATTTATCCTTATTTTAGAGAGTATTTTACTGATTAAGAAATAGATATTGTGTCATACGACAAACCTCAACAGACTGAAGTCATGCTAAGTATATTCATACAAATCATGTAAAGTATGTTCTTCAATCAAAACTGAATTAAATCAACAACAGAAAGAAATCTGGAAATTAAAAGACACATTCCTAAATAACCAACGGGACAAAGAAGAAATCACAAGATAAATAAGAAAATATTTTGAGATTAATGAAATACATACCAAAACCTGTGATATAGCTAAAGCAGTGCTCAGAGGGAAATTTATAGCTATAAATGCCTATATTAAAAGAGCAGAAAGATCTTAAACAAGTAACTTAATCTTCCACTTTAGGAAACCAGAGAAACTAGAAAACAAAGAGCAAACTAAATCTCAAGTAAGCAGAGGAAAGGAAATAATAAAGATTAGAGCAAAAATTAATAAAATAGAGAATTTAAAAAATAGAGAAAATCAATGAGATCAACAAAAGTGACAAACCTTTAGCTAGAGTGACCAAGAAAAATACACAGAAAACTCAAATGACTAAAATCAGGAATGAAAGAGGTAACATTACCACCAATCTTAAGGAAAAAATAAAAAGGATTATAAGAGAATACCAAAACAACAGTATGCCAATAAATTAGATCACTTAGAAGAAACTGACAACTTCCTAGAAAGACATGAATTATCAAAACTGACTCAAAAAGAAATAGAAAATCTGAATAAACCTATAAAAAGTAGAGAAACTGAATTAGTAATTTAAAAGCTACCCAAAGAGAAAAGCTGAGGCCCAGATGGCTTCCCTACTACAAAATACCTATACTATAAGATATTTATGATATATACTAAATACCACAAACATTTAAGAATTGATTTAAAATTCCCAACTCATTCTATGAGGCTAGTGCTATTTTGATATCTAAATACTGATATTAAATCAAAGATATAAAAAGAAAAGAAAGCTACAGATATATATACCATACAAGAATTCTCAACAGAACACTAGCCAACTGAATCCTACAACATATAAACAAGACTACAAGACTGAGTGAGATCTATTCCAGGAATACAGCATGGGTTTAAGAACTGAAAATCAATGCATTACACCATGTTAATAGACTAAAGAACCAAAACTACATGACCATTTCAATAGACACAGAAAAGGCATTTGACAAAACCCAACACCTGTCATGATAAAAAGACTCAGTGAGGAACAGAAGGGAACTTCCTCCTTGGGAAATAGCATCTACAAAAAGCCCAGAGCTGATATCACATTTAATGGTAAAAGACTGGCATCAACTTAATGGAGAAAGACTAAATGCTTTTCTCATAAGATGTCCACTCTTACCCTTTTATTCAATGTTACACTGGAGGTTCTAGCCAGGGCAATTATGTAAGAAAAAGAAATGAAAGACATCCAGGTTGGAAAGGAAAAGGCAAAACTTATCTTTTCTATATCTAATTTGTAGATGACATGACTTATATACAGAACATCTGAAGAAATCCACTAAAAACCTATTAGAAACAATAAAATACTTCAGTGAGGTCTCAGGATATAAGATTAACATTAAAAAAAATCAACCCCTCTATACTTGAGCAATAAACAACCCAAAAAATGAGTTAAGAAAGCAATCCATTAATAATATCATCAAATAAGAAAAAAATACTTAGGGCTAATATTTAATAATGTGTGAAGTGAAAACTATAAAATACTGGTGAAATAAATTAAAGAAGGTATAATTAAATGTGAAGACATGTCACTTAGATGAATGGGAAGAATTAACATTTTTAAAATAGTAATACTCCCCAAATTGATCTACAGATTCAAGTCAATCCCTATCAAAGTCTTAGATATCTTTTTGGGAAACTTGAGAAGCCAAAACCAGTATTTCTATGGTAATGTAAGGGTACCAGAATAGTCAAAACAATCTTGAGAAAGAACAACAAACTCGTAAGACTCAGTTTTAAAAACTACTTCCCAATTTTAAAACCTACTACAAAACTACAATCAAGACAGTATAGTACTGGCATAAGGATACACATATAGATGAATGAAAAACAAAAAAGAGAGTCCAGAAATAAACCGTTACATTTGTTCTTTGATTTTTGACAAGGGTGACAAAAAAAGTCATTGAGGGAAGAATTTTTTTTTTTCAATAAATGGTGCTGGAACAATCGAAAATCCAGATACAAAAGAATGGATTTGGAACCTGACCTCACATTATATACAAATACTAACTCCAAGTAGATCATAAACCCAAATCTAAGAGCTAAAACTGTAAAACTCTTAGAAGAAAACATAGTAAATCTTTATGATCTTGGAAAAGGCAATGTTTATTGGATATGAAACCAAAAATACAAGCAACAACAACAAAAAAAGATAAACCGAACTTCATCAAAATTATTTGTATTCATAGGGACAGGTAATTGGGTTTTTTCATTGATGTCTGCTTGGAGGAGATATCAGGGATTAAACCTGGGACCTCTTGCATGCTGAGCATGTGCTCTACCAATTGCGCTATACCTTTCAGCCAGAACTTCATCAAAATCAAAACTCTTTTGCTTCAAAGGACATTATCAAAAAAGCTAAAGATAACCTAAGAATGGCAGAAAACTTTTGCTTATCATATATCTGTCAAGGAACTTGGATCCAGGATATACAAAGAACTCTTAAACTTAACAATAAAAAGATATATAACCCAAGTAAAAATGGACAAAGAATTTGAATACACATTCCCCACCCAAATATACACAAATGGCCCATAAACATATGTAAATATGCATCATAAGCACTCAGAGAAATGCAAGTCAAAATTATGAAGATTGCAGCTCACACCCATAAAAATGCTATGATGAAAAAGTCAGACAACAACTCTTGGTGAAAATGCAGAGACATTAGAATCCTCACATATTGCTGGTGAGATGTAAAATGGTGCAATCACTTTGGAAAAATATTTGGCAATACACTGAAAATATTAAAACATAAAATTCATAAATAACTGATATTCCAGACCTAGGTAAACATATTTGAGAGAAATCACATGTCCACATAAAAACTTGTACATGAATGTTCATAGCAGTATTATTCATAATAGTCAAAAAGTAGAAATACAACCTAATGAGTGAATTAATTAAATGTGATATATCCACATAATGGAACATTAGTCAGCAATAAAAGAGAATAAAATACTGATACATGCTACAACACAGATGAAACTTGAACACGTTAAGTGAAGGAAGCCAGTTGCAAAAGACTATATAGTGTATAATTCCATTCATGTGAAATGTCCAGAATAGGCAAATCCTTAAAGATAGAAAGTAGATTAATGGTTTCTGGGGCTGGAGTGAGGGGTGGGTAGATTGGAGAGTGGGAATGGGGAATGACTATGAATGCGTATGAGGTTTCTTTTTGGGATGTTGAAAATGTTCTAAAATTAGATTGTGGTGATGGCTGCAAAGTTCTGAATATATATCACAGAACTTTATACTTTTTAAGTGACTGATTTTATGGTGTATGAAATACATCTCATTAAAGCTGTTAAAAAACATATTTACCAGTAAGAGTCTGATTCCTGTATCCAGGCTTCTGTTCCACCATATATCTGTACTAGAGATCAACAAGTGCACTGCTGATACAATGACTGTCTCCAATAAAGCATTTTCTGTATTCTGCCATACCTGCAGTACACAAATTTACTTTATTAGGCAGAATTTTATAATCTAAGTAAACTGTGAGAGTAAACAAAATTATAATTAAATTTGAAAATAGGAAAATACTACTAAACGCATATTAGGATTACCATTCTAAAAGCTCTTGTGAATCCAATGGAGACAGACACAGAGTGAAGCCCTTGCAAGGAACTGTCCAATGAAAGAAATGCTATCATAGCAAAAGGTGACACTAAGACAAACAAACAAAAAAACAAATTTAATGAAGGCAAAATAACACCTTCCACTATATTTTATTTTGGTCAATATGAGTATTTTTATGAGCACATTTAAGCAACTAACTAAAAAAAAAAAACAACACCCAAAACATGAAAGAATAAACACTTGCATGTAGTATAATATTATACAAATACAGGAATTCCATAATACTTTTGTTCACTTCCCAGATATAATACAAGTTTATTAGATTTTATCTTCCTACCTAGATTTAGCAAAATCCGTCTGACAACACCAATCTTCGCGAGCCTTGTTTGCTTCTCTAGGAATAAAGTCACAGTCTGCACATCCTTTGGATAGAAGGGGTTCCGGAAAATTCCAAAGATATAGACATTTTGAATTTCCTTAAGTATCCATAGTATTATAAATAATACCATCAAAATATAGCCAAGAATAGCCTGGGGACTGTTTTTGGAAATCTGTGAGATACCAGCAAAGTGATGCAACAAACCAGTTTCTAAGAGAGCCAAGACTAACACAATGATGTAGAAAAGGTATTCCTTCCAAGTAAACTGTTTTTCTGAACAACTGGGTAAAGTCTTAGATTTGGTTCCAGTTCTGTGTCTGATCACGTTGAGTTTGAACACAAAACCTATCTTACTTAGATTAAGACTCAGTAAGAATCCAAGTCCAGTCATGAAAAGAACCACACCAACAGTGCTGGGAATGAAATACGATGTTACAGCTGTTCCAGCAGAAATGAAGAACATTATTAATAACCTGCAGAGGAAAAAAAAAATTGCTTGAAAAGAAAAAATGTTCTTTAAGAATGAGTTACATATAACTTCAATATTTAAAATAATTACCATAGGTGGGTTGACACAGATGAGCCTCCAAGGCCAAACTCTAAAACCTGCTCCATTGCCCATAAGAAAAGTGCATCAGGTGGGGGCAGAGTCCCGAGCGCCCACAGAAAGGGTAAAAATATAAACAAGATGTGTAAAAGTTGATTCAATTGTTGTAGAACTGGTACATTTACCATAAACCTACAATAAAAAAAATTTAAATCATACAAAACAATACATGGAAGATCTTTCCAGGAAAAAACAAAATAACATATACATTTACCTCCACACCCCACTCCCACCCGAAACAAATTACAGCCCCAAATTACAAAAGATCAACAAATATAAATTGTGATAGTGGTCCTTTCCCTATACCAGCAACTATTCAATTTTGTACAAGTATAGTACTTAGAGAATATGTATATTCAAATGTGAAAAGAAGAAAGAAGTAATTAGAAATAATACTGAATAAAATTGAATTTAGGGATTTGTAAAACTGAACTGAGCCCAAGGCAAAAATATCTTTCCCTTAAATGTCTAAACTACATTGGCTGAAATTCTACCAATGATTCTTTAGAGTTTAATATTTTTAAATTTAAAATTTTAAGCAACTCTGGGAAAGTGAAAGCATTTCCGCTGTTCATACATTAGTAGCTAGCAAAGAAAGAAAGCTCTTCTCTTTCTCCTACTCTCTCCTGTACTGCTCCCAGGTGCTAGAATTTTAAGTCAGTATAGTTAATATCAGAGGTCAGCAACATTAGGTTATGAATGTATCTCAGTGGGTTAGCCTGGGAACTTAACAGGCACATAATATTGTTCCTATTTTGTATAATAATGGTATGGGTTTGAGAACACAAACTTGTGTAATACAATCTCATAAATTAGTGAAGGCTTCTAAAGTGGATAAACTGGTTTTTGGTACTGCCCTTACGTTAAACATAACATCATTAAATTGTTTCAAATAATGTAATAAGAACTTGAAAGCACATAAGAATAAACATTATCAATATGTTACTAAGATTTTGGAATAAGGCTAACCAAACACCTTGCCTGGAAACCAACACTGCTGTAGTACTTACGGAGTTCCAAAGACAACTTACAAAAGAGAAAACTAAATCTCAAAACTTATCATTGTTCTTCAATACCTGAGCTGCTATGAATCAAAGTCAAGGAGAAAGGCAACTTCTAGGATAATTATATACTTAATTTTATGTTAATAGCCCAGAAGCAAATGCACAGCAACTACGATTATAATAATGGCATAATGTGGTTGCTCACACAGATATCAGGACTAGGCTAGCTAATGTATTTTGCCTCATAATGTATGTCCTTCAAATTTTTATAAGCCAAGAGAATTAATGAATACAAGGTTAACAATGTGATGCTAAATTAGAGGGCACTACATTCTCTAGAGTAGTTCTAAAATAAAATTCATTTCATTCTGAGAAGAAAACACCCAAGTAGCAAAAAACAAAATCGAACCACACACAATAAGCAATAGGAAGGTCAAAGAAAACATGTAGATTTGTTGAGTTTTTTTTTTCCTTATAGAGAACCCTTCTCTTGCCAACATATTCAAGGAAAGGATAATTTATGTAAAAATCAAGTATAAGCAGGAAGTATTTCAGTCAAGTTCTATTTCACCCACCCAATCTTTTTGTTCTTAAACAACGATCAATAGTATAGAAAAGTATTTATACACAAGTATAAGGATACCATAAATAAATATAAGAATACATAATTGAAGTAAGCAAACATTGTGATTACTTTCCCGTGTGTATGACTCAGCCCCAAATAGATGATTACTATGGTTCTTTAAAATGGAAAAATTTGATAATGTAACAGGAATTTGCTAGGGCAAAAAAAAAAAAAAAAAACTAAATACATAAGAAAAAACTTTTTGTTTTTCTAACAACCATGAAAATATTTCAAATTCTGTACACTCACTAAGATCCACATGCCCAGAAAAAAGATGTTCCTCATAATGGTTAAGAAGATATAAACAAGAACCATTCAAACAATTCCTGAAAGTCTATGAACAAGCATGGTAGGTTTAACCCTGGTGTTTGTTAAAAATGCATAGAAAAAGTCATTTAAAATTAGTAATATACAACTGTACTGGTTAGAATAAAGAATGAGAAAAGAGAAAAGATTATTACACTCTCGGGCTTATCTCTTCAACTTTCACATTCTCTGAAAGAAAATTAAGATACAACTTGAAATATCTGACAACTCACCAAATTTGAATAGTCACACATTTCAGATAGTATTTATCTCCAGTATCACACCAACTGTATAAAGAATACCTTGATCCTTTATTATTTTGTTAATCAGAAGCTAACATTTTTCTAAAATTGAAATTTTTCTGCACAATCTTCATTTTTCTCTTCAAAAATAGATTTGAGGATTGCCTTTGTCCTTTCTTCTAGCTATAGTTGAAAAAAACCTATTTGTAACTATTAAAATGTAAACATTAAAACTGCATATTAAATCCAACTTGAATGTAGTAAAAAAACATTTTATTCTCTTTCACTTAGAAATAAGTAACAAAGTCAAGAAAACCAAATATAAATTAACTGAGATTTTTAAAACATTAAAAGAACCTAGAGCATCATTTAAACATAAAGATGCATTATAGCAGGTATATAATTTCTGATATCAGAAATGGCAGTGAGATAGTAACTCAATAGTCTGTATTTTGAAAACAATAAACTTACAAACTTAAATCTTTCAAAAGGGGTCATATAGACATACATTTAAACTCAATTTTATTGCTAACTTTTCAAAATGAAGCATTTAACTGTAATATATTTTATAGTTAGTAAATGGTAGTGGTACTAAAAAAACTTCCTACAAATTAATTCTCCCCTTACATATTTGATTAAGTGAAGAATTACAAGGGTATTAAAGAGTGTCCTCTGACCCATAAATGCAGCACAATTAGAAGAGATTAAGAGTTAAGGAATAGCAGACAGACCACCTAAGAACTGGTCAGTTTCAGTACACAAACTAGCTAAATACTTTTAAATGCCATGCTTTATTTTGGGCTACCGTAACAAAATACCATAGACTAGGTGACTCAAACAATAGAAATTTATTTCTCACAGTTCCGGAGGTAGGAAGTCTGAGATCTTAGTGCCATTTTGGTTGATTCAAGTGAGAACTCTCTTCCTGGCTTGCAGCCAGCCAACTTCTCACTGTATCCTCACATGGTGGAGAGAGATCAAATTCTCTGGTATCTCCTCTTATAAGGGCACTAACTTCATCAGGGACCTAGTTACCTCCCAAAGACCCTTTCAAAGTATCACTGCATTGGGGGATTAGGGCTTCAATATATGAATTTTGAAAGGACATATACATTCAGTCCCTAACATTCCACCCTGGTATCCCAAATTCGTGGTTACGAATTACATGTAAAACACATAGATCCCTTCCCAACAGCCACAAAAATCTTAACTCATTCCAGCATCAACTCTAAAGTCCAAAGTTACATTTAAATATCACCTAAATCATATACAGGTGAGACTTGAGGAAATATCCATCCTGAGGCAAAATCTTCCCCAGTTATGAACCTGTGAAACCAGACAAGTTATGTGGTTCCATATGCAATGGCAGGACAGACACAGGATGGACATTCTCATTCCAAAAGGGAGAAACAAGAATGAAAGATGGGGTGATAGGTCCCAAAGAAATCCAACATTTAGCATGGCTAATTCCATTAGATTTTAAGTTTGAAGAATAATCCTCTTTGGCTACATACTCTGCCCTCCAGGTCCCCAGTGTGGTAATGTCACCCAAATAGCACTAGGTGGGGAGCCCCACCCCCACAGGGTTTCAGGGCATTACCAGCCCCAAGCCTTCCAGCAGAGTCCTAGTTTTTTGACATGTGATAATCTCTGAATCACTTTTGGGTAATTTTCCTCTCAAAGAATAGTGCATGTTCGCAGCCAAATAGCTCTATTATCCCCAACCTGTCAAATCTAAGAAGTTGACAGCCTTCATTCATTACATCTTAAGTTCAAACTGGAAGTGCTTCTGCTCATTAATCCCACAAACTATTTATTAAGTGGTAGTCTAGCCACATCCTTGATGTCCCCTCCAGAACATGCTTTCTTATTTTTTGTAATATGGATAGACTGAAAATTTCCTAAATCTTCAAGTTCTAGTTTCCTTTTGCTTAACAATTCCTTCTTCAATTCATTTCTCTCTCTTTATATTTTACTACAAGCAGCCAGGAGAAATCAAGCTATTCATTTAACACTGTGCTTAGAAATCTCCTCAGCTATATATCTAACTTCATCACTCTCAAAGTTCTACCTTCCACAACATTAAAAAATAGTCCAGCTAAATCCCTTGTCACTTTACAAGGATTGCCCTTTCTTCCAATTTCCAATAACATGTTCTCGTTTCTGTCTTGAGATCTCACCAGAATTACCTTTAACGTTCACATTTCTAGCATGCATTTCAAAACTCCTCCAACCTCTACCCATTACCCAGTTCCAAAGCTGCTTCTACAGTTTTAGGTATTTGTTATGGGAGCACCCACCTTTTTCATATCAAAATCTGTCTTAGCCAGTTGAGGCTGCCAAAATGAAATATCATGGACTGGCTGGCCTTAACAACAGAAATTTATTTCTCACAGATCTGGAGGCTGGAAGTCTGAGACCAGTGTGCCATCATGATCAGAGTATGGTTAAAACTCTTGTTCTGGCTTGCAGACAGCTGCCTTCTCACTTTATCCTCACATGTTGGAAGAAGAAATCAAGCTCCCTGGTCTCTCTTCATATAAGGGCACTACTTCCATCAGACCAGGGCATCACCCTCATTATCCCAATTAGCTCCCCAAGACCCCACCTCCAAATAGCACCACACTAAGGGATTTAACATATGAATCTGGAACAGGGATGGGGGAGGGCACAAACATTCAGTCCATAACATACCTATACATTTCTATCTGGACACTAACCTGTGAAAGAGAAAGCTACAATCCAAAGAAACAGAGAAAAGTCAGATTTAGAAAAGGCAAGCAAAAGGAGTTATCAAACAATTTTGTTTAAAATTGCTATTTTCTATTTCTTCTATATTTTAAAAAAATCAAGATTCCTTCTATATAGTTACTATAACAAAATTAAGTAAGTTATTCTATTCATCTTAAATCCACTCCAACTATGCATAATATTTATTTGTATAAACTTTAAATTCTTCATTTTCCCCTAACAGGAGAGTTTCATCTTTTTTCACAGGTTTCAGTCAGGCAATCTTTTACATTCATAGCTCTTTATTTAAAGTAAAACACAGGATTGGAATTTTGCTTATTTATCTTATCATACAAAAAGGTTTTTTTTTCATTCTTCAATAAGATTAAATTATTGCTTTAGGATGTGTGTTTAACAGAGATTAGTCCTAAGAGATTAATCATCAAAACAATCTATCACCCAACGGTATGGTGACCTTCAATTCACAGATTCTCTTTTTTTTTTAATACTAAGGAGAGTGCTTTAACTATGTATGCTTAAAAACAAAGCAAGTTTAAAATATTTGATAGCTTATTACCTGTGTGCAAGATCTACTGAAAAGAAGAAAAAAATATAAAGAGGCCTCATAAGAGGAGTGATTTCATAAGTATCCTGGGTTTGGAAAGTCGCAGTCTCTGTAGCTGTGTTTACAATTAATGAATATTCTCCAATACATAACGTCATCCATCCAAAGACAAACAGTAGAACAGTGCCTCCTACACTGCCATACAACAAGGTTATTCTGTTCGGGAGCAAATACCATGTTCCAAGACCACACAATAACCCAGCAAGAGCAGAATGAAAAACTGTATTGGCTATATATTTTTTGCCAGGAATTAGAAATTTGATGGTCTCAGCACCAGCACAACTTGTAAATTCATGCTCATCTTCTTCTGCTAAGATATCTGTTGTCAGCATTCTTTCTACTGTTACCGATTTGTTTCTGGCGTGTAAACTTGTGAACTGGATGACAAATGCAGTGAAAAGCATTAGTCCACCTGAAAGTATTGCTGTATAATAGTCTTCCAGGATGCCTAATTGGTACAAAAGTGTTCCTATTCCACCTAAAACCCATGGCATCAAAAAAAGGATAACCTGATTAAGATATATGTAAGGAGGAGCACAATAGCCTAATTTGAGTCGAGGGCCTCCAAGAACAGTCTGTGGAAAGCGCTTCAGAAAGAAGTCCTGTTTGTAATCATTCAGCAGAGGGACATCTGGACTCATCCTTCTCACTCAGGATTATTCTGAAAGTCACATCCTTTTCCGTAACACAGCAGTCTCTAAGAAAAAGAAAAAAGTCACTGTTTGAAACTGGCATACTTGAAACATGGGGGAGAAAAATTCCACATTTCTATTAGTTCCTTCAAGGACAAGATTTGTAACTTCACTTCTCTAGATCTTTCCCATTGTCTTACACACACTTGGCACAAAACAAATAGTTGCTAAGTTGTTTTTATTTATTAAAAAGAAATGTTTCACTATTAATTTATCTAGAACTTAGATAAATTTGGAATTTCTTAAGTAACTCACATTGTCAGATTTTAAGATCAAAGGAAAGTTCAAAAAGCCAGTTTAACTCTGCTGGTGGTTTAACCGATTGTTTCCCTGAGTGCTTCTGTTGTTTGTTTTTGAACTTTTTCCTTTATTACAAGAGTGAGCAAAGTTTCCATAAAGGGCCAAAGAGTAAATATTTCAGGCTTTGTGGACCATACGGTCTGTGTTACAATGACTCAACTCAGCTGTTGTTGCAGAAAAGCAGCCACAGATAATACATACATTAGTGGATATTAGTAGTTGTGTTCCAGTATAACTTTACACTATTTACCCAAAAAGGCTGGGGGCCAGATTTAGCCTGTGGGCCAAGGTCTGCCCACCCCTGCTCTATAAAATAGGATATTCTCTATAATGCTGTTGAATTGAAATGGAAATAGAAGTGGAAAATACAAATACTCAGTGTGTAGTCACATCACTTACAATTATACTGAACTTAGGATTTTCTGATAATTTAAAAAGTCAAATCTTGCTAAAATAGTAGCATTTCAATAAAAAGGTACTGGCAGCTCAACATGTAATAGGAAGAACAGTGAACTGGAAACCAAAAGACTCCATGAGTCAGATTAAATGCTTATTTTTAACTACATTACCACATGCAAACCACTTCATGATTCAATTTTTAGTCTCTCTTTCTGTTGTCAATTACCAAAATCTATCAGAACTAGGAAAAGCTGAAATAATAATAGGACTCATACATGCTTTAGCCTAGATTATTTTCATTTAACAGACATAAAAGCCTAAGATCAAATAATATGAATTCTCTTGTCAAACTTCTCTTTTCTTGGGATATACTCAGTAGCTTATTCTGAAAAAAAAAAAAGTTGTCTGTCACAAGATCAGTTAGGAAAGCATTACCTCAGGAGTCATATGTTGTTAGAAAAGAAGAATTAAGTTTAAAGCCATCTTCCTAAATACAGACATATAGACCAATGGAAAAGAATAGAGAGTACAGAAATAAACTCTCACATATACAATCAAATATTTGACAAGAGTGCCAAGACCATTCAATGAGTAAAGAACAGTCTTTGCAACAAATGGTACTGGGAAAACTGGGTAACCACATGTAAAAAGATGATGTTTGATCCTTACCCAATACCATATACAAAAATTAACTCAAAATGGATCAAGTACTGAAGACCTAAAACAATAAAACTCTTAGCAGAAAACAAAGGACAAAACTTCTGACACTGGATTTGGCAGTGACTTCTTGGGTATACCAATGTACAGGTAACAAAAGAAAAAATAGACAAAATAGACTTCATGAAAATTAAAACACTACATGCATCAAAAGACACTATCAACAGAGTGAAAAGGCAACCCACAGACTGGGAGAAAATATTTGCAAATCATACTTCTGATAAGATGTGAATATCCAGAATACATAAAGAACTTCTAAAACTCAACAAAAACACAAACTGATTAAAAAATTGTCAAAGATCCTGAATGGACATTTTTTAAAAAAAGATACATAAACAGTAAAAACCACATGAAAAGATGCTCAACATCACTAATCTTAGGGAAATGCATATCAAAAATATAATAAGATACCATCCCACATTCATCTGACTAGCCACTACCAAAAAAACAACCACAAAAAACAAGTACTGGCAAGGATGTTAAAAATTTGGAACCCTTGTGCACTGTTGGTGGGAAGGTAAAATGGTACAACTGCTGTGGAAAACAAGTAGTTACTCAAAAAATTAAAAATCAAATAACCATATAATCTAGGAATTTCACTTCAGGATATATACCCAAAGGACTGAAAGCAGGGTCTTAAAGAGATAATTTGTATACTCACACTCACAGCAGCATTATTCACAATAATTAAAATGTGGAAGCAACCCAAGTGACTATTGAAGGGTGGATGGATAAGTAAACTATGTTAAATACTTTCAATGGAATATAATTTACCCTTAAAAAGGAAGGAAATCCTGCAATATGCTATGTCATGGATGAACCTTTAGGACATTATGTGAGGTAAATAAGCCAGTCACAGTAAGACAAATACTGCATGATTTCACTTATACAAGGTACTTAGTGTAGTCAAAATCATAGATAGAAGAAGGGTAGTTGCCGTGGGCTGGTGGGGTGACAAGAATGGGTAGCTATTGTTTAATGGCTATAGAGTTTTTATAAGATCACAAGTCATGGGGATAGACGGCAATGACGTTTCTACAACAGTGTGAACGTATTGAATACCACCGACCTGCACACTTAAAAATGGTTAGGACAGTAAATTTTATGTTGTATGCATTTTACCACACACACAAAATTTACAGCCATCTTAAAGTAACCTTTCTTCCAATGAGTTTAACATAGTCTTTCCTCAAGTCACTTCTACCCAACCAGTATCAGCCCTGGAGAGAGGTTCTGGGCATCACAAAAGGTTTTTTGGTCACCATTAAGAATTACTGCCTTACAGCACCTCTTGTTATACTGTTGGGAAGTCTTTTATACTGCAAACACTTATCATCTCATATTCCCCAGCTACTGGTCTTACCATCTGCACAGAAAGTCATAGCTTTTACTCATGACAGTCCTGAAAGTACTTAAAAAATTACAGAACCAGTGGGCCAAATGGAGCCTTAGTGGTTGATGGTTCAATCTTGGAATGAGAAGATTGCCTTCCTCCCCTCTGAATGAGAATATTTCCTGTACGGATGTCAGGCTCAGTGTACTACATTCTGATATGATTATTCAGTAGAAGCCATAGGTAAGTAAGGGCATGCTCCTGTGAGCATGTGTAAACATTCTGATTTCAGTTAGCTATGGAAGAGGCTATCAGAGAGGAAAATGAGCTTGGATAGCTGGCCTGGGCATTTTGAAAAAATCTAGATATGTCTTAAAGTTCTCCAGGAAGTTAGGTAAAAGCTGGCCCCTTCTCCACTGAGGCAAGTCAGGAACAAAGTGATGTGGCTCACTGGGAAAGGAAGCCAAAAACTGAAGATAAACTTATAAACTAGATTATCTAGCTGCATGTTACTAACCATATTCATTTACCTTTTAGTACTTCTGAGTCTTTCGTAAGTTTAGTTTACAGAAGACCTAAATAGACATCGCTCCAAAGAAGACATACAGATGGCCATTAGGTATGTGAAAAGACACTTAATATCGTTAATTATCAGAGAAATGCAAGTCAAAACTACAATGAGGTATCACCTCAAACCAGTCAGAATTGCCATCATTAAAAAGCTCCAAAACGATAAATGCTGAAGAGGGTGTGGGAAAAGGGAACCTTCCTACACTGTTGGTGGGAATATAATTTGGTGCAGTCACTTTGGAAAACCATATGGAGATTCCTTAAAAAACTAAAAATAGAGTTACCAGTATGATCCAGCAATCTCATTCCTAGACATATATCTGGAGAATATTCTAATTCAAAAAGATACACACACCCCAATGTTCACAGCTGCATTATTTACAATAGCAAGACATGGAAGCAACCTAGATGTCCACTGACAGATGACTGGATGAAGAAGTTGTGGTATACAAATATTCACACACACACACACACACACACACGGAATACTACTCAGCCATAAAAAGAATGAAACATGCCATTTGCAGCAACATGGATGGACCTAGAGATTATCATACTAAGTGAAGTAAATCAGACAGAGACAGATTTAATATCATATAAATATCACTTGTATGTAGAATCTAAAAAAAATGACACAAATAAACTTATTTACAAAACAGTTACAGGTTCACAGACATAGAAAACAAACTTACCATTACCAAAAGGGAAGGGGTGGGAGAGGTATAAATTAGGAGTTTGGGATTAGCAGATACAAAGTACTATACATAAAATAGATCAACAACAAGGTCCTAGTATACAGCACAGAGAACTATGTTCAGTATCTTGTAGTAACCTATAACGAAAAAGAATATGAATATATATATAACTGAATCACCATGCTGAACACCAGAAACTAACACAACATTGTAAATCAACTATACTCCAATTTAAAAAAATTAGTTTAAATGTTCTTACCTATTCAATGGAATACTCTGTGATTATAGTCTAAACAGCGGAATATTCTGAAGATGATTTACTGTTGATGTGGAATAATGGAAAGATGCCCACAATATATTGAAAAGTAAAATAAACATACTGATATCCCACTTGTATATACAAAAAGAGTACACACACATGTATATATGGTTGTTCAGTGTATATAAGTGTAAAAAATTTCAGAAGTCATACACACTAGGCTATGTTTGTGTTTGTATTTTAAACATAACATTTTGACACCTCTTCAAATTACCAAATATTCTCTAGAACTCTCAACCGATCCCCTGCAAACACATTCCATGCTTATCCTGGGTGCCTCTGCTCATGACCGCCTTCTTTGCCCAGGATCTTTTACTTCCTTTCATAATTAGTAATTTTAGTCAACTTTAGAAATTCAGTCTAACCCTTTCTGAAAATTTTGCAGGGCACTTAGACCAAATGTGCCTCTCGTCTCTCTGTATATCAAAACATTTTGCTTCAAATGGCAAAATTTTGTTCTTTTTTATGACTGAGTAGTATTCTGTTGTGTGTATACACACACACACACTACATCTTCATTATTCATCCGTTGATGGACACTTAGGTTGCTTTCATATCTTGGCAACTGTAAACAATGATGCTATGAACACTGGGATGCATGTAATTTTTCAAATTAGTAATTTTTTTTTTTTGGATATATACCCAGGAATGGAATTGCTGGGTCATATGGTAGTTCTACTTTCAGTTTTTTGAGAAATCTTCAGACTGTTTTCCACAGTGGCTGCACCAATTTACATTTCCACCAACAGTGTATGATGGTTCTTTTTTCTCCATATCCTCACCAACATTTGTTATTTTTGTTCTTTTTGATGACAGCCATTCTGACAGGTGTGAGGTGATACCTAACTGCAGTTCTGACTTGCATTTCACTGATGGTTAGTGATATTGAGCATCTTTTCATATGCCTGTTGGTCATTCTGCATTTCCTCTTTGGAAAAATGCCTATTCAGTTCTTCTGTTCATTTTTGACTCGAGTTTTTTTTTTCTTTTGAGTTGAATAAAATGTTTATAAATGTTGGATATTAACCCCTTACAGGTCTATCATTTGCAAATATTTTCTCCCATTCAGTAGGTTGTCTTTTTGTTTTGCTGATGGTTTCCTTTGGCGTGCAAAATCTTTCAAGTTTAATTAGGTTCCATTTGCTTATTTTTGCTTTTATTTTCTTTAGGAGACAAATTAAAAAAAATTGCTGCAATTTATGTCAAAGAATGTTCTGCCTATGTCTTCCTCTAGGAGTTTTGGTCTTACATTTAGGTTTGTAATCCATTTGAGTTTATTTTTGTATACAGTGTTAGAGAATGTTATAGAATTCTATTATTATTTCATGAATATAGTCTGTCTCTCTGGGAATATTCATTACACATATGTGTATGTGTGTGTATGTAGATAAATGCTATGTTTTTGTACACTATCTTATGACCTTTGACTCTTTTCTACTGAAGTGTTCACTTTTCTTATTAACTTGAAACAGCTTTTTATATATGAAGGGTATTAACTCTCACATGTTACAGTCCCTTTTCCCCCTCTATGTTAACTTTCTCTTGAAAAGCACTGTTAGAGAAGATTTTGGCAAGGATTAAAGACTACATTTTGATAGTCATTAAAATAGACTAAATGAGTTATCCTTCTCACAGGAAACAGCTAAATGATAAATTAGTACTTTTCACAATTGTAAACTTCTGAATAACTTCTGAATACCTACAATGTGTTAGGTGATGGTACTAAGACTGCTCTCTGACCCAAAGGAGTTTACAGTCCAGTAGGGTAGAGATCATTTTCCTCTCAAATAATTGTTACTGTTAAAAGCAACTGTGGAATTATTTTAATTTTCATTATTAAGAGAATAAATAAGGAATAGAAAGTTAGTATATAAATAACCTAAAATTATTTTAAATATTAAACTTGCTAAGAAAAGTAATTCTTGCTGATGTTTAAAAATGCCTACACAATCTTTGTCAGTAGAGTAATGAATAGAATGCACTCATCCATGTTCCTAAAAAGTGTTTAAAATTTGAAAGGAAATACACTAAAGTTCTACTTTTCCATCATCACCTTTACTAATTTGGAAAACAAAAAACATTATGTTTGGAAAAAAAGCAAAATGGCCTACACCTAACTACTCAAAAAGCAAAATATGAAACAGCTTAATTTTCATTTGCTCTAGAGAAAAATCATCTGACACTACCAGAACAGTTCTAAAAAGTACACATATGTAGACTTTTTTGATAGTCATGTACTAACTGTTGAGGGTCCTAGTAGGAATCTAGAGATGCAAAGACAGCTACCCCTATAATTATGAAAATACTCTGTGGGATCTTAACCAAATGCTATGCCACGGACAAACAGCTAAATTCTTGAAGATTCTTTTGAAAAACACTTGGTGCTGAAACATGAAAAATACATTTCATGTTATAGTTTATCAATTATGTAGTAAGCACTCTCTTCCTCCCAGCAACAAAACAAAAATCTACCCAAACACCTAAAAGAAAAGAACAAGAACAAGAACATCTCTTTGGATATATAAAATAGTAGTTATTCAAATTCCAGATTTTGAAGGGTCTTTGAATCTAAGAGTTTTCTGTAAATTCACAGGAACTCATTTGTAGGGAAAACTATGACTGGATGGGAAGGGTGATTAGATAGCTAAAATGATCTATTTACTGCAGAATATGTATTGGCAATGCTTCACAGGTGGAATGATGAGATGTTGGTTCTGTGATTCACACTTTCCAAATGTAGAACATTAAAATATGAATTGACAGCATTCCGTTATTTACAGAAAACTAAGATGGTAGGAAATACCCAAAGGTCACATCAGAGCATCATAAGTGTGCAGCACAGTCTGCAATACTTCTGCTCCCATCCCAGTCTACCCTTTTCACACCTTACTTATTTTACCCATTATAAATTCAAATGGATTAACAAGTTCTCTTCCAAAATCAAGTATCAGGTAAATGAAGTCTACCACTCACATGAATTACCAGAAATAAATCCATCCATTTTATAGAAAATAAAATTGAGAACCAGTGATATTAAGTGACTCAATCAATACCCAATGTCAGTTGGAGGAAGATTGCATTTTTCAATCACACCAAGCTACTGCCATATGAAAGGGAATTTCCTTTTGAGGATTCAGATATAGAAGGATAAATTGGGAGAATGGGTGTTCAAAGAAAGGTTAGCTTTAGAGGAATCTACACACGTCAGAATAGGAAGATTTTGTTAGCTACACACGTAAGAATAGGAAGATCTTGTTTGGCAATGGCAGGGAGGACTACTTGATAAGACATAAAGAAACACAAGTGGGGGAAGTGTCTGAAAGAAAAGGGTCTCACCAACAAGAAGAGAAAACAACTGACAGAATGGGAGAAAATTTTTCCAAATTATATATATGAAAGGGACTCATATCTAGAATATAGAAAAAATTCTTACAACTTAATAATGAAAAAACAAGCAATTTTAAAAAGGGGAAAGAATCTGAATAGACATTTCTCAAAAGATAATATACAAATGGCCAATATAAGCACACAAGATGATGTTTGACATTACTTATTGGGAAAATGCAAACCAAAATCACAATGAGATGTCACTTCAAATCCACCTGACTGGCTATAAAAAAGACAGACAATAACAAGTATTGGCAAGGTTATGGAGAAATTACCTGAAGTAGTAATGTAAAATGGTGCAGCTGCTTTGGAAACAGTCTGACAGTTTCTCAAAAAGGCTAAACATAGAGTTACCATATTATCTAGCAGCTTCACTCCTAGGTATTTACCCAAGAGAAATAAAAACGTTTAAGTCTACACAGAAATCTGTACACGCATAGCAGAAATATTATTCATAGCCAAAAACTGGGAACGACACAAACGTCCATCAACAGATGAAATAAAATGTGGTATACTCATACAATGGACTACTACACTATAAACAAGAACGAAGCACTACTGCATGCTACAACATGAATGAACCTTGAAAACAGAATGCTAAGTGGAAGAAACCAATCATAAAAGGCCACATATTGTATAGTTCCATTTATATGAAAAGTCCAGGATAAACAAATCCAAAAAGACAGAAAAGAGATAAGTGTCTGCCTGGGGCTGGTGGGGACAGTGAGAACTGGGGGGCTGAGGGACTGATTGTTAAAGGCTACAGGGTTTCTTTTTGGGGTGATGAAAATGTTCCAAAACTGAATGGTATGCAATGTGAAAACAATAAAGTTCTTACAAAAGAAAAAGAAACAGAAACAGAAAAAGTTCCCTATCTGGTATTTTCTATGGCAGTTTGTAACTAGTAGGCAGCTCCTTTAAGTAGGAAATTTAAAAGTAGCGTACAGGTGCCCAGTTAAATTACTAAAGCAGCTATATCTGAACTTGGAGTCTGGCTTTGGATGCTATGACAAAGGTTTGGCATGGGTGGCAGTGGATACCCAGTAACATAAAGGATGGCCTTTGCCCTAACTGCAGGTATGAGTAAACGAGGGAAAAAAATCCACCTAATATTACACAGCTGAATAAGAGAGAAATGACTGGTATACAGCAGCAAATCAATTCAAAGCCCTGATAAGGAACTTCTGAGGAGCAAACTTCATTTAAGTAAATGCTGGTCCTTGAGAGACAGAGTGTTGTGCAGATCAGTGAGGAAGGAATTACTCATATTCGGGGGCCCATGATATTCAGGGGCCATGATACGACAAATTTGGGGCAAAAGTGGAGATAAAGAGAGAATGAATACAGTACTAAGGGCAGAGTCTGTAAACTTCATTGGGATAACAAAGCCATCCCGAAATCTAGAATGAAAGGTCCATTTTCCATTTGGCAATAATCAAACTTAAAAGATTTCATAACGAAGAACAAAAATATCTATGGCAATTAAAACTGTAAGAACAACGTGGCTCTGCACAGGCTTTGAAATTAAGGGCGACCAAGAAGCTCCCAGGTGGGTGTCGGGGATCGAACGTACCTCGAGTCACCCAAGAGAAGAGGCGATGCGAAGGCATCCCGGGGACTGCATTTTTGCAGGCAGACCCGGGTTGGGCGCTCCCGCTGAGAGACTGCTTGCGGTCCGAACGCGGAGGCGGAGAAGCTGTAGTGGCCGGGCTACCAGTTTACCACGGTGGCGTCGGGGCCCGCTCCGCGTTTCCATGGCTAACGTCAACGCCGGCTGGTGCCGCCCGGCGCGGAACCCAACGCGCAGTCGGGGGCGGGCCG